TTTTATTGGGGTGCCTGGGTGGCCTAGTTAGTTAAGTGTCTGCCTTCTGCTCAAGTAATAATCCAAGGGTCCTGGGATGGAGGTCTGCATGGGACTCGCTGCTCAGCAGGAAGTCTGCTCTTTCCTCTCCCTCTGCCCCTCCCCCCTGCTAATGCTCTCTCTCTCTGTGACATAAATACATAAAATCTTTAAAACAACAACAACAACAACAAGACCTAGAGCTTTTTATCTTGATGACGTCCCAGTAGATCATATTTGCCTTTGGTTCCCTTGCCTTTGGAGACATGTCTTACAAGAAGTTGCTGGGGACGTGCTCATAGAGGTTGCTGCCTATGTTCTCCTCTAGGATTTTGATGGATTCTTATCTCACATTTAGGTCTTTCATCCATTTTGAGTCTGTTTGGGGGTAAGGTGTTAGAAAATGGCCCAGTTTCATTCCTCCGCATGTCGCTGGCCAATATTCCCAGCACCATTTGTTGAAGGGACTTCCTTTTTTTTTTTTTTTTTTTTTTTGCATAGGATATTCTTCCCTGCTTGGTCAAAGATTAGTTGACCATAGAGTCGAGGGGCCATTTCTGGGCTCTCCGTTCTGTTCCATTGATCTATGTGTCTGTTTTGGGGCAATACCACACTGTGTTGAGGATTATAGCTTTGTCATAGAGCCTGAAGTCCAGAATATTGTGATGACACCAGCTTTTGATTTTCTTTGCCAACATTCCTTTGTCTGTTTGGAGTCTTTCCTGGGTTCCATACAAATTGTAGGATTACTTGTTCCAGCTCTGCGAAAAAAAACTGATAGTATGTTCATAGGGACTGCTTTGGGAATGTGTAGATTACTCTAGGTAGCATAGACACTAAACAATATTTGTTCTTGCCATCCATGAGCATGGAACGTTTTCCCATTTCTTTGCGTCTTCCTCAGTTTCTCTCTGAGTGTTCTATAGTTTTCTATAGTTCTATAGTTTGCTTCTTTGGTTAGGCTTTTTCCTACATATCTTAGGGTTTTATGTGCAATTGTAAACAAGATCAACTTTTTGATTTCTCCTTCTTTTGTCTCATTGTTAGTGTACAGAAATGCAACTGATTTCTATGCCTTGATTGTATATCCTGCTGGTTTGCTGAGTTCCTGTATGAGTGCTATCAATTTTGGGGTGGAGTCTGTTTTGGGTTTTCCATACAGAGTATCATGGCATCTGTGAAGAGTAAGAGTTTGACTTTTTCTTTGTTGATTCAGATGCCTTTTCTTTCCTTTTGTTGTCAATTGCTGAGGCGAGGAATTCTAGTACTATGTTGAACAACAGTGGTGAGAGTGGATATCCCTGCCTTGTTCTTGACCTTAGGGGAAAAGCTCTCAGTTTTTGCCCATTGATATGATATTCACTGTGGCCTTTCCATATATGGCTCTTATGGTATTGAGGTATGTTCCCGCTATCCCTACACTGTGAAGAGTTTTCGTCAAGAAAGGATGCTGTACCTTGTGAAATGCTTTTTCTGCATCTACTGAGAGGATTGTATGGTTCCTTGTCCTCTCTTTTATTGAGGTAGTGTATCACATTGGTTGGTGTGTGCATGTTGGGCCACCCCTGTATCCCGGGAGTAACAACCACTTGGTCATGGTGAATAATCCTTCTAATGTGCTATTGGATCCTATTGGCTAATAACGCAACTGTCACACTGATGTCCTCTCAGTTGTCATGATGTCCCCTAGTGCCAACATTTTAGGATATATTTTCCTCACACCAGGATATTCCCCTGGGTCACCACAGGATCATCTCTTAGAAGGTCGCATGGTACCTGAGGGCCTCCTCATCCTCAGACTCTGCTTCAAGTTGTTCCAGCAATGTCCTATAAGGTCAAAGAGATTGTTGGACTCGGGCTTTTTCCATTTCCTGGATGTGCTGAAGATGAGGGTTAGAGTGTTTGATTTGCCTTTTTCGTTGATTGGTTTAATTTTTAAATGTCGGTGAAGAGATTTAGATGTAGGAGTCCTCCAGGACTGTATGTTGTCCAGAAGTTCTCAATACATACTGGAAAGCTTTGTTCAGCTGGTGTTTTGACGCACCTCTGTGTCATTCTTTTTGACAGTGGTTCAGATTATTTAGTCTTAAGTAGAGAGAAACAGAAATCTCCTAACACATTGTATATATTGTGCCTCAGTTGGATATCACATGGCTAATTTTTTTGCTATGACACAAAGCACTGCAATAAAAAAAAAATCCTACATCTCAATTGCCTTTCGGTCCCCATGTGTTTCCAGCCTCGAATTAACACTGGGATTGCCATGCAGTAGGGTGAACACACCAACCACTGTCTGGATAGAAGGAAATATAGGGCGAGTGAGTGATTTCATTATTCTCCTACCAACCCATAAGAGAATTCTTTTTATTCCGTTTCCCGTCCACCACTTGCTATAGCTCTCTTTAAAAATTTTGTCAGTGTGATGCATGTATAAAGCAAGCCCGTGGTTCTTCGTGTTATCTTGACTGCTTGGGATGTGTTCAGTGACTTCATAGGCTGATTTACAGTTTGTGACTTGCTCTAAGCATTTGCACAGATCTTAGGAGAGCCAGACTTACACATATTTATTTGCAGGAGCTCTTTAGGTTCTGGATACCGATCCTTTGCTCATGAGGGAATAAAATCACCTTTTAGAAGCAGATCGGATTCTGCCGTGAAGACTCACCATGCTCTGAAGGACGTGAGTCAGTGGGGAGAGATGACAGGAGAGACAGTGCTGTGGTGGGGGATCCGGGAAACTCAGAAAGAGTCTCGACTGCTTCATTCCCAGAACATTTGTTTGCATCTGGCCTGTCAGGATCATGTCTGAGACTGACAGGTAACTGCTTGAAAGTGGATTTCTGAGCGATCCTTCAATTCTCTATCTCCCCGACACATCTAGCAGAATCACCACTTTTATTGACCCCACACGGTGGAGGAAGAGCAAAATTCCATGAGTTCTCTTGGGATATAGAACAAATTCCAGGGGCACCTGTGTGGTTCAGCCAGCTAAGTGTCTGCCTTCAGCTGAGGTCATGATCCCAGGGTCCTAGAATCAATCCTCCTGCTGGGCTCGCAGCTCAGAGGGGACCCTGCTTGTCCATCTCCCTCTGCCCCTCTCCCCTACACATGCTTTCTCTCTCTCCCGCCCTCTTTCTCTCTCCAATAAATAAAAATATTTTTAATACTAAATAAATAAAAAATAAAAAATTCCAGGGGTGCCTAGAGCAGCTTAGTCAGTTAAGCAACTGCCTTTAACTCGGGTCAGGATCCCAGGGTTCTGCAATGGAGCCCCACAACCGGCTTCCTGCTCAGCGGGGAGTCTGCTCTTCCTTCTCCCTCTGCCCCTCCCCCAGCTTGTGCTCACTCCTTCTCCCCCCTCCCCTCTCTCAGATAAATAATATCTTTGAAAACAAAGAAAAAAATAACTTAAAAAATTCCAAATCAACTATATATTTTTATAGTAGAGATAATATTTATTTAAATATACGTATCTGGGCATAATTTACTGAAGAAAATAATCACACGTATGTCATTCTGTTTAAAAGGCAATGAGCTTCTTTCTCAGTACATAGAAAAAAAAATCCCTGAGGTTCTATAACTTCGAACAATATCTTCTTGGTGATATTGTCTGCGAGGACATGGTTCTCTTACAGAGAAAAATGCAATATTGCACAACCAAAGGACAAGATGGAAAACGTCCTCTTCATTGAGACTCCTCAGTCAAGTACCTAAACATTTCAGTGCAAGAATTCCATCACTTAGCACCGACAGAAAACGGCATAGAATATGCCAAGGGAAAGTGCTGAACAGGAGAGCCACCAAATGCAAGAAGGGGTATGAGGGGTTCGCGGTCCTACACCACGTGGTTGGACTGAGGTCTCTGGATTTGTAAACTTGAAAATGCTGGTGGTCGCCTAATGATGAACTCATCCAAAGGCAGCTGGCCCAGAGGCAGAGTTGCTGAGCTGGTCCCACTCTCAGAGGTTTCTTGGTGGACTTGGCAGCCTAAGGAAAGAACAGGTGTTTGTCTTCGTGGCAGAGGAAATCCTGGGTCTCTTGTCCTGGGGCTGCCCTTCACCAGCACTCCCCACCCCAGAGCCCTGCCCTTTGTCCAGGGACATGCTTTCCCCACAGCCATGACCCCAGCCCTGGGCCCAGCCACCTTTACAAACCTCCTTCCTACTGAACCAAATCACTGAGTCAGCCCCAGACCCTGTTTCCCATGGTCTGGGCTCAGGACCAAGGCGAGTAAGAAACCAACGTGCTCACGTGACTCGTGTTCCTATGCTCCCTCTCATGGCAGGTCGTAAGGATCTGCTGGGGCATCTGACAGAAGACAGGGGCCTGCAATGGACACCCCTAATCTTGGGGAACACTGTGGGCAAAGGTCCTTCTTTTCCCTTCCCTCCCAGCCTCCTGGCGAGCAGCACAAAGAGCTCTTAGCCTGATGATCCCTTCCCCCACCAATCCATTCTTGGTCCGGCTCAGCTGGAAGCTCACAGGGGAGCTCAGTTAGCCCATCTCCCAGGTCAGCCCTGCCCAAAGCAGGGGCTGCTCAGTGGCTCAGGATCTGAGGTCTGCAGGAAGCTAGCTGCCGGGACGGCTCTAGTCTCAGCCAGGATTCCCACTGTTGCACGGAGAACTGGCCTCCTTCTAGTCCTGTCAGGCACGGTCTCTACTGGACACTTGCTGCTTTACATGCAAAGACACAAGCCATGTTCTGGGGGAACACGGCACTACCGTCTAGCCCTTTGAAATGGTCTGCAGAGGCCTTCCCACTCCCACTTCTTGGGATTTGACCCTGGCCCCTTGTCCTTATAACTGCCCAGATGGGGTCCCCTTCTCCTTGAGATGTCCTATGGAGCCGCCATGCTGCTCTCTCTCAAAGGGGAGTACGGCCCATGCTGTGTGTCCCCACTGTCCCTACACCACCCACCCTGGGCCCAATTTGACTCTCTCCAATGGAGAACCGAGTCAGAGCCAGGCCTGACTTCCTCAATCCCTTTAGCACTGACAGGCCTTAAGCAGTGGTGTGGGCCCTTCCCCTTTCCCAGTGGCCTTAACAGTGAGTGAGGCCATATCAGAGCTCAGAGCGGAGCTTGCCCAAGTTGTTGCCAGCACGTGGGAGGAGATCTCATTCACCTGGTCCCACTGCCCTGCGAGAAGGTTCAGAGAGTGGGCAGGGGTGAAGCTGGGAATTCACCGTTCCTTGTGCTCACACCAGGCCATCTGCTCCTCCCTTCCCTCTCAATCTGCTCTCACTACCTGCCCCTCTAATGGTCTCCAACAGGGATGCCAAGTATGACCACACAGCTGAAGAGCAGGGGGAAGATCCAGGTGCCGGGTCTGATGGCCTTGGCCCTGCCCGGGGCCGTGTCTTGTCGCATGGTTGGTGGCACTGAAATGAAAACACAAGGATCAGAGCCCCAGTTGGGACCCCAAACTGGGGGAGGCTTCCTCAGCTCCTGCTGGCCCAGGTCCATCCTACCAGGCAAGACGGTGCCTATCACTGTCCTTGTGGTAGCTACTGTGACCAGTGCTCATGCTGGCAAGGAGGGAGGGGATGTTCTCTGTGCCCTAGGGCCTCCTCCAGCCAATAGGGGAAACAGGGTTTGCAATGTAAGCAGTCACTCCTGCTGTGACACACAGGAGGTGATGCAGGACAAGGATGGTGACAACCACATTCCCGGTGGCACTGAAGGATTTCCAGCAATACACCAGGTGACACGGAAAAGACGATGATTCTCAGGAAAAGGAACATAGGACCATCTCTGGAAACAGACTGATGCTCCCCTGTTTGCGCCAGCAAGAAATCCGAGAAAGACCCAAGCACGAAGGTGCGTGCAGCCAGGAAGTGATTCCAGGAGGTGAGAAGGGAAAGGAAGGATGCTAGAACATTCCAGTGGCCATTATTATACCAAGAAGAATTCGCCATGGATGGACCAATTTCTCTCTCTCTCTCCCTCATACACACACACACACACACACACACACGCACACAGCCCATACTGTGGGGCAGGTGGAGCTCATCTCAGGAGAACCAGCAGTCCATCCAGTCTTCTGAGTTACCTGTGGTCTCCTGCATTTCATCCCAGCGCTCCCACACTTGCTGAAGCCAGCTCTGACAGTCTCCGCTTGAGGTCCTCACGAGCAGCCTGGTCAGCTCTCTGTCACCATCCAACATGTCCTTAACCTGTTGGCCTCCAGAATGATCCACTGTCCACTTTCTGTTCTTCGGGTCAAAGAGGTAGGTTATCGGCTCATTGAAGCAAAACTGCCAGGATTCTCTGGTGTGTCCGTCGGCCCCACGCTCACACGTGAGCCTGCCCTGCATGGTGAGAGAACCTGCACCCGCCCCCAGCGGGGGAACAAGTCAGCCTCTGGTCCTGACCAATCCTTTGTCCCACCCGCTGTGCACTCCTCAGCTCACTCCCAGCCCTCCTGGTCCTGCTCTGGCCTCCTTGTCTACACTAGCTGCTGGCCGCATGTGTGGGACCCACTTC